ATGTGTATATAAAAGTTGTTGTGGGGCCCAGGGCCACAGGATCCGGGTCCTCACACTCCCTCCTTACTCCCGGCAGCAAGACTTACGGTCACCTTGCCAGTTTTGGTGATTCCGTTCACGATGCGTCTGAATGACTGCCGCTTTAGTTGCTGGTGGTTTACGTGCGACTCAATTCGTCCGGATGGACCTGCCACTCCGATGGCACTCTCGGCTCAGCCTCTTCTAGCCAACGCTCTATTTCCGCCACTAAGTCGGCATCTGCTGCCACACTAAAATCCGCTTCCGCCGACGCCTCCTCCATAAAATCCCTTCGTCCACCGCTCGCCAACGTACACGCCTCGATCGCGCTCTCACTAAGGCACAGCTGTTGCGGCGGTGGATGTGGCTCTTCCGATGCCATCGGGTCGTATAGCCTGATGCGCATGTCAATATGGCGCGCATAGTCTACGTACCCGTTACCGAGGTGTCTGGCGTCTTGCGTAGCGATGGAGAATTCGCCCTGCCTTTTGGCATACTCCTCTTCCTCGTCGGACGAGATGGTTATGGGTGTTGGTGCCCGCTCTACTTCGCCATCACATTCACCGCTTGGCCCGCTGTCGTCGGATCGTACGCTTACGTGCGATGATTCGTGCTCCATCTCCTCCTCTTCGCTCGTCAAATGTGGCGTATTGTTTGCCAATTACTCTGCACCTCAATAGGCAGCCATCTCTGCATCTTCACTATTTTGGGGCAGTACGAACGGCTGCGTACTTTCGAGGCTTTCGATGTCCTCGACGCCGATTTCTTGTTGTTGCCTGCCTCTGTTGCTACCGCCCTCGCTGGGGCTACTTGGCCGGCCAGCGTCGTCATGCTCGCCTCCGCTGCTGTTGTTGTCGCTCGAATTACTCGACCGGTCTCCACCGCTGCTGTAACTTCTACTGTAGCGTCGAATTTCGTGCTCTGTTAGGCGCTTTATCCGTACGTGCAAAACGCCGCCCTCCACTTGCTCGGCTACAAAATTTGCCTGTTGCTGCTGCTGTTGCTCCGTATTTTCGCGAACTTGTGCCTTGGCGCCCGCGGCACATCCTTTTTATTGCCGACAGTGGCCATTGCGCGACCAACTGTATTTTCCTAGTTTTCCGGCACTTTTCCAGCAAAATTTCGTTAATTTTGCTGCCGTTTCACTTTCACATTGCATATTTTGTTTTTATTTGTTTATTTGTCATCCTCGCACAGCTGTAGTTTGGTGTCGGGGTTGCTGACTATCCAAAAGGGAGTTTTGTAGCGGTGATGTGAACTGGAGTAGATTTCGGGTTGCCATTGCGGTATTACTCCTCTTCTTATTACGATTATTATTATTAGTAGAATTAGTATTATTTTGTTATTATAAATGTTTTTAGCTATTATTAATATTTATAATTATAATTATTATTAATATTTTATAATTATACTACTATTGCTGTTGTTATTATTAATTTTAATATTATAATGATAATTATAATTTTTTTTTATAATTTTCTTTTGTGCTTCGTGCCATCTGCATCTTTCATTGGTTTTTTTTTCTTGGGACCTTATTTTTTTTGTGCTTCTTCTTCTTCATCATCATGATCTTCTTCTTCTTCCTCTTCTTTTTCTTCATCTTATTTAGGTTTCTTCGGCTAGTTCCTCCTCTTTCAGGGTCTCCACTGTCATGGCAATTGCTCCACTGCTGGCAATTGCCGAGTGTGTGACTTCAGTCTGTGCTGAAATTTACCTATTCGCCGCTGTGCGCTTAATTAGGCTGAGACGATGCCACGGGAAAATTTTCACCTGTGGCGTTGTTCTCATAAAATGGTTTGAGATCACTCACGTGCGCTGTTCTTCTTTTCCCTTTGTGCACCTTGTCGAGTTCTACGATCACAGGTGAGATAAAATTTAGAACGCGATGTGGTCCGCCGTATTTCGGTGCAAGCTTAGCCGCGAAATTGTCCACGGCTTTAGACAAGAAGTGTTCTTTCACCAAAACCCTGTCTCCCACGACCGGTTGCCACGATCTTCTTCGCAGATTGTAGTGTCTCGCTTGCTCTGTCGTTGCCTTTTGTTGGTTTCGTCGCACTAACTCAAACACCTCTCTCATTCTCACCGCTTTTACTTGCGGTGTTGTGGCATCTTCGCCGGTTCCTAACGTATTCTCGTCATACAATGCGTTCGGTAACCTTGGTTCTCGCCCTTGGACGACGAACGCCGGGCTGTAACCCGTTGCGTCGCACACGCTCGTGTTGAGGGCCAAAGTCATTTCTGGCAACAGATCATCCCAGCTCTTCTGGTCTTTGCCTGCGAACTGCGCCAGTAGTCGCTTGATGTTACGGTTAGCTCTTTCCGTCGGATTTTGCTGCGGTGTGTACGGAGCAGTGAATTGGTGCCTTATTCCCATCTCCTCCAGGAATTGCTTAAATTTCGAGCTGGTAAACTGCGTTCCATTATCCGTGATCAAGATTTTTGGAATGCCGAACTTGCCGATAATCCGCTCTCTCACTGCTCGAATTACTCCCTCCGCTGTTGCCTTCCGCATTGGTACAATCTCGACTCATCTTGAGAAACGATCTAGTATTACCAGCGCCATAGTGTTTCCATGCTTGGATCGCGGAAGAGGTCCTACGAAATCAGCACACACCGTCGCCCAGGGTTCTTCCGCTAGCTGCGTCAGCATCTTTCCGGCTGGTTGCTGCTGGCTTGGTTTGTAAAGCTGGCAGGTCTGACACTGTCGCACATACTTCCTCACGTCGCGGAACATGCCCGGCCAATAATATCGCGCTGTCGCCCGCGCATATCCCCATATGGCCTGCACTGGGAACATCGTGAATTTCCCTTAACACCC